ATAAGATTTGCCACGCCGCGTTGTTTGGGGGTTTATCGGGCAGCTGCTTGACAATTTGCCCGTGTGATGGAGAATTCAGATGACAAAGCATCCCCAATGCGATTCTGATGAAAGGGACGATTGACCTGGTTTGGCTCGCCGGGTGATGTCACAGCGAGAACGGCAGGCACCACGGACCTTGTGGCCCGTACAATGACCTTGCTTCAGGCATTGTTCTACCGCCACAACATTCCAGCTAAATGACAATCCACACGTCCTCCCACCACGGCATCCGGACGCCATCCTCTGGGTATTATTATGCCACAAAGCATCTTCCATTCATCCCCCCCCCGAGCTTTTCATTCACGTACGCACGCCCCGAGCCAAAATACTAGAAATCAGACAACCCCCGTATCCCTTCCCGGAACTGCAGCCTCTCACATCCCCTCCACCCCCATCATATCCCCCTCTTCCAGCATCACAACCACATATCGCCTATAACTCCCAGGCAGCTCCCCCTCAACCTCCACCGGCCCCGCCTCATCCTCGGTAACATGCACCGCATGCTCCTCCGCCATGCTCGACGCCAGCCGCACCGACCCATCCACGCTGTTGATCGCCACGACATGATGCTGTCGCTTGTCCAGCAACTCCTGCGGCACCGAGCCCTCCTCAAACACAACCACATGCCGCTTGGGCTTATCGGAATCCGACCCGGCGGTCGTGGTATCGTCAATAACGTACCGGTTCCCCGCGGCCAGAAGCGGGTCCGTCGCCGGGGCGTGCGGCGCCTCGCGCAGAACGAAGCGGCGCTCCGGATTGCCGAGGGCGGACTTGAAGGATGAGCCCGTCGGTGCCGGGGTCTCGAGGGCGGCCTGGAAGCGGATCTGGCCACTGGTGGCAGAGTCGGGGTCCGAGGTGGCAACGGGGACGGCCGTGGTGGCGATGGAAAAGTTGTCGATGGAAAAGTGCCGGCGGTGTCGGCGACCGCTGGGGGCGTTGTCGGTGCGGACGCTGGAGCTCAGGTCCTCGGAGTTGTCGGCGGGAAAGTCCTTGTACGACAATTTTTTCGGGGCTGTGGCGGGGGTCGGTTCGTTGTGGCCAGAGCGGGAGAGAAGAGGGGCGGTTTCCCCGCTCGTGGCACTGTCGATGGACAAGATGGGTTGGGGGCTGCCGATCCAGCCTTGGAGGAAAATGAGGGTGAAGAGGGCGGTAAAGGCACTGAGGAGGCCGAGGAACTTGGTCATGGAGTGCCATCCCCAGACCCAGTGGATACCGCCGGCGAGAAGGGGGCCGATGAGGCTGCCCCAGGCGTAGGCGACAGTGGGGAGTGTCGCGCTGACGTTGTCGAGTTGGGGGAGAATGGTGTCCATCTCGACTACCAGACGGGTGATTTCCTGGATCAGAGGGTCCGCAGCAAGGCCGATGCCAAAAGAGATGCTGGCGAGGGTGGCAAAGAGTCGGACGTCGGCCGACTCCCTGTCTGGATTCAGATGGCCGAGATAGGCCAGTCCGGGGGCGCAGATGATGAATCCAACGGAGGATAGGAAGCGTGCGGCCTTTGGCATGCGTCCCGTGAGGAGTCTGGCAAAGGGGCCGACGAGAACAGCCGGGCCGGACAACGGCACGAAAACGAGCCCGATGGTGGACATGGACGAGTTGAGGTGACGCTCGGCGAACAGGGGGATGACACTGTAGAGAGCGGTGGTGAGCAGTCCGACGACCACGTAGCCGTGCAGGGCCGTGAACATGCGGATGCCAAAGATGGGCGCCTCTTGTCGGAAGGAGAAGACGGACGAGATACTGCTCCGTCGCGATCGGTGCGTGGCGGTTGAAGCTCCTGATCTCAACGTCGACACTGATCCGTAGATGTCACCGCCGCGGAGTGAAAGGCTACCGTAATCTTGGACCGCCGGCACGGCTTCTGAATCATCCAACAAGACAACATGAACTGCCACGGGAGTCGGGGTGTATTTGGCGCCAACAATACTCAGGAGGATGTTGTGGGCGACGAGGAAGTAGGCAGCATAGAATACCGCCTTCTCTCCAGCAAAGGAGGAGAAGAGGTAGCCGCTGAGGGCGGGTCCAGCAGTCATGGCGAAACTCTGCACAAGAGCGGGCGAGATCCATGACAGCGTGTTTCTCACACCGGCGTCGGTGACAGTGCCACTTAGGCCCGAGTTTCCGCCGGTTATCACGGCGGACCCGACGCCTTGGAGAGCCCTTGCGAGCACCAAGATGGGCAGAGAGGAGCAGAATTGGAGAACTGCGACGGAGGCGGCCGCACACACAAGTCCGCCGGCCTGAATCATCCAGGCCGAAGCGCCCCGACGAGCGAGAAGGGGTATTAATGCTGCTCCAGTCAGCCTTGCATTAGACGCTCCGTTTGGTCGAAGGAGGAGGGAACCTACGAGAGACGGCCACAATGGCGCCGCCATACGCCGAGATGAGGATAGAGATCAATATTTGGACTGTACAGCGGTTAGCACTGGCGCTGGGCCTTTATGGTGGCAGAGGTGTGCTCACCCTGCTCCTGGGGGGGCTGGACTCTGCTCTGAACGATTGAGGGGATGAGGGGGATTATCTGGCGAGGTTAGCCGCGAGGTCTGGATCGGTTTGCTTGGGAAGCTTACAAGACCAGAGAGAAACACATCCTGACGAATCAATGTTAGCAGATATTCCTAGGACCGGTTGTGGCGCGCCAGGGTTTGACATACCGTGAACGAGGCGAATTTCGCCAGAGCAACGGGGAGAGCCATGGGAGCGGTCGCTGTTGAAGCTCAGTGGTCCGAGGGGAAATCGCAGTTCTGGGCGGGATGGGCGTTGAAATGGCCGGAGCTGATCCGTAGCGCTGTGTCCGGGCCAACAATCGCAGTGCTTGATCGGGGCTGGTTTGTTGGGTTCGCCTTGGTCGATACCAATGCCGGTGTCTGCTCGAGAGCCGGGAGGTTGAGGCCCAGTGGTGGTCGTGTCCACTAGATGCTCAGTGACCCAGGGCAGGATCTTTTTTTCCAGCAGCTTGTTCAGTTGTGTAGAGTCGCCGATGCAACCTGCAAAGCTTGGACCCGAGATGCGGGGGGGGTTTCGTTTGCTCAGGGTGAAGAGGGGCAGCACCAGCTTCGCCAGAATGCGTCCAGCGTGCTGTGTTTTCGTGTCGTCGTCTCTAGTAGATCGTCGAAACGCGTCGTGCGGCTTCGTCTCTCGTTAGTCGACGTCGTCCAATGGGCATTCGCAATTGGGATTCCCTCGGTCCCTCAAGCAGCGAACAGAATGCGTCCCTCGCCTCGCTCGGTCAACGCGCGTCTAGGCCGACAATCATCGCACCACACAACACTCTTTGCTGCTGCAGAAAAAGTAGGCAGAGGGGACGAGGACGGCGCGGATTCCAGAGGACAAGAGACAAGACTGGACACCCCCGCTGTCATCTCGCCGAGCTGATCGTCTTGGCCTGGCCCCTCTTCTCGCAAGCTTCAGCCAACCGAAGCCCCGGTCTAGCGAGCGGCCCCCCACCGACGGCGGCCTGCAGCCCCCGCAAGTTCGCGAAAGACAGGCCTCGTCATTGGTCTCGGCCGGTATCACGGCGCCAGCGCAAATATCGTTAGGCCGGAACCCCTAATCTCGGCGATGTCCATGTTGACGCAGGGCTCGCCACGACTTCTTGAGCCTCCTGATATTGACCGTTAAGAACGTTGACTTTCTAGGTCGCGGCTTAGATTCAGAATGTACCGGCCAGCCCATTGACATGCATTCGATATACCTACTTGTCGCACACATCTGCAAATATGGCCCGAGACGTTGGTCCAGGCCGGCGAGCAGCTGATCCCAGCGGCATGAAAAGGCTGCTGGAGCTAGGTGCTGACAATGAAGTTGAAATGACGCCCTAGGGCTGCCCTACTCAAGGGAGGCATCTTGGGACTATTTCCTCCTCCCTCGAAAAGGGAACCGAGGACCTCAACGCACATCTCCCGGTAGCCAGATCGACAATGGTCGCACTTCGAGACCACGGCCAACTCTGACATGCCAGGCTGGTCCTCCGAGGCCATTCTCAAGATACTCGACCCTGTCTCCCATGGTTGGACATGCCCGGCAATGACCCAATCTGCCGTCGATGTTAGCGTTTCATTGCCTAAGGCCAGCGCGACGCCGTCAATCGATGCCTGCAGGTACTGGGGCCTGAGCTGCCTGCCAATACAAAGAGGGAGCCCAGACTTCTGAAGCATCTTGGCCTCGGACCCCTATGTCGCCGTCATGACGAAATAAAATGTCCGAGGTGTGGTGTGGAGATCGACAAGGCCCTCGAGGGTACCAGGGAGTTGTGCCGGGGCGGATGGAGTCACATACCGCCCCTCTCGGCGGGTCATCAAGCCGGATCTCGACGCGAGCCCGGACGCCGGCCCGGACACCGGCCCGTGATGGTCCGAGCCACGGATCGAAAGAGAGAGACCGGCTTCTGAACCCTGGGGGGCTCGACTTACCTCCAGTCAAGCCGAGGAGAACGTTAACAGCGTCTTCAGCTCTGTGTCCTTCACCAAGCCCAGCATTTCCAAACTGCTCCAACCCCAACGCCAGATTCAAGGAGAGCGGCACCCCGGCGACACCAAAAACCCCCATAACCAAGAGAGAGTCACCTTTTGGTCTCCGATCCCCCGGCAGACAAGTATACCAGTCCTTCCCAGCGGCACGGAGACACTCACCTTCACATCCGGCATCAACCACAGCCCAAACCAGTTTCCGGAGAGCAGCTCCTTCTTCTTCACCGCCGCTAAAAAGAAGCGGCTCTGCGCCGCAGACGGCAGACGGCAAATGGCAAACTCCCTGGGACGCCGAACTGGGAAGTCCTAAACAAGCCCGCCATCGGCACTGCCTCTAGCCGGAGGAGGAGGACGACTTCACCAACCGCCTCCACAACCTGCATCTCTCCGCCAGCTCGCTCACACAAACAGGCAGAGAGAGAGAGAGAGAAAAGCTTCAGCGACGAGGGGAGAATAAGCAAGAAACAAAAAAAAAGAAAAAGAGTGCATTTGCTGCAGCCGGGATCGAACCAGCGACCTCTGGGACCAGATCGCCCTGGTTCCCGGCGTATTCCCGCTCTACCACACAGCGTTCTACTTCTCTCTCTTTCTTTTTGGGTCTTGGTTTATTGTTTGTAAACCCAGTTTATCGTTGGGCGTGTTTACAATAGTGAGTCACTTGTCCAAGCATTTCGGCAGGCCATCAGCATGGTTGGGGTGACTCGACTGCCTGCACGCAGGACGGTTGGGTGGCTGTGCGGGATGGCGCTAACAATGAGGGGGAGGGACGCCTATAGGTGTTCAAAGTCTAGGGTTTGTTCTCATGATGATGGCATTTTGGCTTGTTGGGAATTAGTGTCGGCTGTATTCAGGGGCGATCTGTTGCGTTGCCGTGCCAACGATGGACAGTCCCCCCTGAGCCGTCAATTGCATCACCAAAACTACGGTAGCCAGGTATGTCCTCGAGTATTGCAAGAAAGGAAGGTATAGTGGAACACCGAGATGCGGGATACTTCTTTTCTGATCCTGGCTTGGGACCCAGAGTCGGGTTGTCATGCGATCAGTCCCACCTTTGTCACAATGGCAGCAGCATGTCAACAATGCACCCTTCAGTCCCTGAAATCATGACAAAAATTGGGAGAATGATTATTCCATTAAGATATCCACTGCAGTCTATCTTTGACTGGGTAGGCAAGTCAGCTAACTAAGACCCATCCTGTCTAGCAAACACCCATGTCTAGGGCACGAGGCCGGGCCAAGTGAAATCATTTCGTCGCTGGCAACAACCGGAAAAGTCACCCTGAAGGCGACGGACATACAAGGTCTTGGTATCGACAACATACGTCCCCAGGTGGGCTATAGCTGAGCAACAAGTCGGAATGAGACAGTGCCTGGTCTGGTTTCTTCTCTGGTGAGCTAAAACTGAGTAGCAGGTCGGAACAGGACAGTGCCGAGTCGGATCGGCCTTGTCGAGCTGCCGACAGGCTAGACTCCTTGGACAGCGAGCTGGCACACCTGTGGGCGTCCGACTGCAAAGGGGACGCAGCCGAAGCTTCCGGGCTGGTCACGTCCGACACACTAGACGTATCTGCGTCTTCGAAGCCATCCCATCCATGGCCAGACGTAGAAGTTGTTGGTAGATGGGCATCTTCGCATGGGGAGCGACCAGGGCCATCGTCCACATCCTAATCCGCGTAACTGAAGGGCATTCCCCCGAGCCGCGGCCCAGCTTCCTGATCCGAGCCGCTGATGGGCAGCGCGGCAACTTCCTATTCCGCAGTACCACGCCAGAGCCCGTAGAAGCCCTCGCAATTCTTCCACATCTTGATTGTGCCGTCCTCGGACCCCGTGGCGTAGAGATTGCCGTCGGGCGAGAAGGCGATGGACCAGATGGGCCCGTGATGGCCCTTGTGCACATCGATCTCGCGAGCACCATCCCACGAGTACACCCGCGCCCAGGTGCCAGGCTCCTCCCCGACAACCACCTTTCTTCCCTTCAGATCCAGTGCCACGCTGGCAATTCCGTGCGGCAGCGTCATCTCCTTGAGCTCGTCGTCGGCGCGATTTCCTCCCCAAAAGTAGGCCGTCTTTCCAGCGGCCACCGCCAAGACGGGAAGGCCGCCACCAATGTCGGATGGCGAGCTGAAGGCGTCGGCGAGGTAGACAAGCTCGCAGGACTTGATCTCGCCGTCGAGCCGGATTTCGCGGACGCAAGACCGCGACGGCAGATCGAACCAGCGCAGGGTGCTGCCCGAGGCCGTGATGATTACGTTTGGATCCTTGGCCCAGACGATAAACTTGATCGGCTCCGTGTGTGTCCCCTCTCCAATCTCAAAGGCCTTGGATGTCTCAATCGTCACGGGCGTGACGACGCCCGGGTTGGCTGATGCGGGCGACGAGACGGGCTTTTGCTCTTGCAGGTCAAAGATGCGCAGCTTCTTCTCGAATCCTCCGGTGGCCAGCATCGCCGAGTTATCAAAGGGGTATGCGATGGCACGCACAATGTGGTCATGCTGAAGGATGTAGAGCAGCTCGCCAGTGTGGGTGTCCCAGACCTTGGCGGTGAAGTCCGCCGAGGCGGTCGCGGCGGTCGCGGCGTCGGGGCTAAGGCGGGCCTGCCAGACGGCACCCTTGTGCCCCAAGAAGGTTCCGATCCAGTCGCCAGTCTGGCCGTCGCGGAGCATTGGGTTTCCATCTAGTATCGCGGATCGTCAGCAGGAGTCGTGGGTTGGTTGGGTGGAACAAACCTTTGCAAGCTGAGATCATGTAATAGTCCTCATTCTCCAAGGGGGAAAAGCTCAAGTGAGGGACCGGACGGGAATGTCCATGGCAGGTCAGCGGCACGTAGGGTTTCGGCTGAGGCTCGGCCATGGTCGAAATTTGGAGTGCAAGTATCGGCGGGGTTGAGGGGAGGCAGAATGGGAGGGTGAATGGAAGCGAAGCGATGGTGATGTGTCGGCGCGCCAAGCAGACTAAGTATGATGCAGTGGGAAGAACGAGGGAGACGTTCGCGAGGAGAGGTGGTGGTCGTAAAGTTGCGAGCTGCGAGGGGGGTGCAGATCTAGGTTGGATCTAGTGCGAATCGTGAAACGAGAGGCGAACTGAGAGCAGAAGGGAAAAAAGAGCGAAAAAGTCGTAACGGGTCGTAAAAGGATTCGTAACGTGGCGGACTAAAGTCAGACCAAGATCTCGGCTGGCCGTGAGAGTGTCTTTGGAGTCGGATCGCAAAGAGGAAGAGATGGAAGGAGGTGCGCTGCGACGAGAGCACGAGAGCCGTATGTACCTATCCGGTGTGAGACTCTTGCGAGCGCGTGCGACTGCGAGGGGCTGACCATGCATATATGCAGTAAAGAAAAACGTGGAAAGCGGGACCTTGTTCGCCCCAGCGTTGCCTCCATTTCCCCAAGCCTGCAAGGCGGGCAGGCAACTCGATGGTGGGGGGGCTCATGTGGCTGAAGCTAGGTCCCCCGTCCCAGGGCACCCCTCCTTTCAACAGGGGCGGTCGCAACAGTGCCGGTGTCCCTCCGGTTGCCCCTCCGCCATCTAGCTTCGACCAACTTCCAGAGCGGCGCTGCTGGGTTCCACTGCAAACCAAGATTCCGGCCTGACAAATCAGCAATTCCACCACTTCCTTGAGGTCGCCGTGGCTTCTCTCTTTTGACGTCCCCCAAGCTGCTGTAGCTCGTTGCGCTTCCATTGCCGGCTTCCATCTTGGGAGTACGCGCGAGCTCCTCTACCTATTCCCACCACCATCCCGCGGCGTTACTAGGGACCGTCTCGGTCAACAGCAATGGCCGAATTCCAGCTCTCGGCGGAGCTAGTTGCTCACGAGAACGACGTATGCCTTCCCATCCTCGGCCGCATCTCCCCCATCTGATCATATCCCTTGCAGGTCCGCGCCGTTGCCTTTCCCACCCCCGACATCATCGCATCCGGCTCCCGTGACGGCACTGTTCGTTTCTGGAAACGAGCCCCCGGCACACCCACTGCCTTCCAGCCTACCACGATCGCCTCAAGTCCCAAGCAATATTTCAACTCTGTCGCCGTCCTTCCTAGAAAGAGCGAAGATGGCACCTCCCACAACCGTGTCATGTACTCGGGCACCGACCTGATTATCGACATTCGCGACGCCGAGAATGTGGACAACGACCACCGACAGCTGTTTGGACACGAGGCCAACGTCTGTGCCCTCGATGCCTCGCCGAGCGGATCGTACATTGTGTCGGGAAGCTGGGACTCGAGATGCATCGTTTGGGAGAACTACGAGGCGGCAAGGCTCCTCGACCATGACACCGGGGGTCCGCCGAGAAGTGTCTGGGCCGTCCTTGCCTACGACAACAATACCGTCATCACCGGCAGTGCCGACACCAATATTCGCATTTTCGACCTTCAAAAGAGTCGACGGCAAAATGCCAGGCCCTCGCAGGGCTTTGCGACGGTAGCGGCGCACACCACCATCAAGACCCCAGACGTCGTGCGCGCCCTCTGTCGATTCTCCACCGAGCTCACAAAGCGACATCCCAGCAATGCCGACTTTGCCAGTGCGGGCAACGATGGTGTCATCAGGTTGTGGAAGAACACGGCTACCGGGGTAGAGGAGAAGGGACAGCTTCACGGCCACGATAGCTTCATCTACTCGCTCGCCGTCCTCGAGTATGGCGAGCTTGTGAGCTCGGGAGAAGACCGAACCGTTCGCATCTGGAAGGGAATGACTTGCGTTCAGACAATCGTCCATCCCGCCATCTCGGTGTGGAGCGTGGCCGTCGGCCCCAACAATGACATTGTATCAGGTGCGAGCGACGGCGTCGTCAGGGTCTTTACTCGGAACGAGAGCCGCAAGGCGGACGCCGAAGCGCTGGCGAGCTTTGAGAAAACGGTCCAGTCATCCTCCATTCCCGCTCCCGCAATGGACCGGAAGAACATCCCACCAAAGGCCTGGCTGGACACCAACAGGGGCCAAAAGCCGGGGCAGATCAAGACGGTGCTCGATGAGGACGGTACCATTCTGGCGTATCAATGGGATGCTTGTAGGTTTCTCCGCATATTTTGGCCTTTCATCCGTGCTGACCCTTGCTTTCTCCATAGCCGAGTGGAAGTTGGTCGGCACCGTTGTGGAACCTCCGACCTCCAAGGCCTCGCACAACGGGCAAGAGTACGACTTCGTGTGGGACGTTGACATTGGCCCGGAGCAGCCGATGCTCAAGCTTCCCTTTAACCGCGGCGACGACGTCTACGCCGCCGCCAAAAAGTTCCTCGAGGAGAACAGCCTGCCAATCAGTTACTTTGAAGCCGTCGCCGCCTTTATCAACGACAACCTTGGAAATCAGCAGGGCTTCTCAAAGGGAGACGGGAACCCGAATGACACGCAGCCCGCGGAGAAGCCCTACAAATGGAACGCCCTTCTGCCACACACGAAATACCTCTATCTCGTGCAGTCCAAGCTGGCGCTGGGGCTTAACAAGCTCCGCGAGTTCAACGGGACTGTGCACAAGGCCATCCAGCTGAACCCCCGTCAACTTGACCATCTCGGTTTGCTGGTGAATGAGCTTACGGCTCGCCCTGAAAAGGCCAAGATCGACCCCGACGTGAAGC